ACTGCTAATGCAGTTAGCCAGAGAAAGAAGCAAAAGTACACATACAGGAAAGAAAAAGAGCAAAATTACCTTTATTAGTAGATGATTGTTTACCTGGAAAAACCATGGAACTCAAATCAAAAAACTATTATAAACAATAAGAAAATTCAGTTATATGGCAGTTATAAAATTACTATAGAGAGGTAACCAGTGTGAAAATATGAAGGGATAAAAGTTCCCATTTATAAGAGCAACAAAACATACATAATACACTGAAATAAGCTTAAGAAGCATGTGTAAGAGCTATATGAATAAAACTTGGCTACTAAGAGGCAGAAAATAAAACCTAAGTAAATGGAAAGATACAGTCCTCTTCTTGGTTTAGAAAATTTAATGTGGAACAATGTCAATTCTCCCTAAATTAATTTTAAAGCAATCTCAATTTTTAAAAAGGACTTAACATGAGTGCTAAAATGTACAGGAAAATTAAATATAGGAGAGGGAGTTAGACCTATAAAATATAAAATTACAATAAAGCTCCAGTAGTTAAAGCAGGTTGGTACTAATAGTGATTCAGCAGATAAAGAGAACAATATAAACTCCAAAAACAGACTCCAGAGTACTTGGAAATATAGTCAGTGGTAAAGGTTATATTCAAATAATTAAAGTTGTACTATTTAATAAATTCTATGGGTACAAATAACTAGCTACTTGGGAAAAAAAATAAAGTAGAAGCTATACCTCATACCTCACATCCAAATTAGTGCTAGAAGGATGAAAGATTTAAATAAACAAAAATGACAACACAAATATCTAAAAGATAAACTGTCAACAAGAGAAGATATTTGCAATACATGTAGCAAAGTATTACTTTTTTAATTTATAAAATTCTCTTATAAACCATTAAGAAAAAGACCAATATAATGTGAACACAGGACTTGAACAATCATTCCGTAGAAAAGAAAATGGCTTTTAAAAATGTGAAAAATTGATGAATGAGTTCCGGGATCTAATGTACAGCATGGAGACTAAAGATAATAATACTGTATTATAGACTTGCAAAAAAAGTAGATCTTAAATGTTCTCACTACATACACGTGCACAAAAGTTATATGAGTTTATGGAAGTAGTAACTAACCCTATTTTGGTAATGACATGTATCCAATCATTATATTGTGCTCTTAAATTTACGTAGTTATATGTCAATTATATCTCAAAGCTGGAAAAATATTAAAAATTTCTCATAATTACTAAATTTAAGAAATGAAAATGATAATAAAAAGAAATACCATATTTCCCTTAAAATATTGACAAAGATCTAAAAGTTTGGTAACAGAAGTGTTTTCCAGGATATGAGGAAACATACTGTTTATGGCATTGTAAATTGTGACCACCTCATTCAAGAGTGAATTCACAATAACTTCCAAAATTTAAAATATACATACTTCAAACCTTGAAATTCAACATCTAGGAATTTATTCCTCAGCACACTTTCACATGGGCAAAGAGACATATGGACAAATTTTTTTATTACAGCATTGTTTCAAATTGCATAGTATTAAAAATAACCTAAATGTTCATTATTAGAGCATTTGTCAAATAAATAATGGTACGTATATAGCACATGTGTGGATATACGTACATCTATTTCCTCATTCCTTTAGTTATCTCATCCAATTTCTTGGCTTTAAATACCATGTGTGTGGATGATTCCTAAATTTTATCTGCAGTTCCATTCTCTCTTCTGGATTCCCTTACCACAGTCCTCCTCGGTATCTCCACTTGGATGTCACAGTAGACATCTCATACTCAACGTATCTACACTCTTGATCTTCCCCCACAAGTCTCACTTCCTTGACAGCCTTCTTCTCTATAGACAGCAAATTTTATCCATCTACTAGCTCAGTCCAAAAGCCTTAAGAGTCATCCTTTCTTTCTCTCACAACCAGTTTTCAGTTGGGCAAAAATTCCTTTTGCTCTACCTTCATATTATGTCCAGAATCCTACCACTTTTTACCACAGTGGCTGCCACTATCCTGGTCGACACCATCGTAATTTCATGCCTAGATTATTGCAGTAGCTAGTCGTTTTATATCTGCATGCCTCTGTTTAGTCTATTCTGGTCAAAACAATCAATGATTGTTTTAAAACATTGAATCAAATCAAATGTTATTCTTGCTCAGACCTGTGGAATGGCTTCCATTTTACTCAGAATAAAAGACAAATTCCCTACAGTGGCCTGAAAGGACCTCCATGATCTGGCCCCTGTTAATTTTGTGACCTCATTCCCTATTACTTGCCTTCTTCATTCAGCCTCAGCCAGCTTGGCTTCTTCAAAGCTTCTTAAATACACTTGTATTCTCCCATCTTAGAGTATTTTTTTCTCTGCTTGGAGTACTCTTTCTTGGGATAGCTATGTGGCTGACTCCCTGGCCTCTTTCAGGTCTTTGTTCAAATGTCACCTTTTCATGAGAGTTACCCGGACTACTTTATAGCTTTAACTTTTCTTTATTACATAGAACTTATAACCTCTTATAACATATTCTAGACTTTATTGATTTGTTATGCTTATTATCAATTGTCTGTTACACTGCCTAGAATGAATGTAAGCTTTATCTATTTTCTTCAATGATAGATCCCAAGGGTTTAGAATATGTTGAATCAATCAATAAATGAAGCAATCTGTAAGACAAATTGAAAAACTCAAAAGTATATATAACTATTCAAACAGTCTGTAAAATGTGCTGTATTTATATAAATGATATAAATGTTTGTAGATGCATATGGTATCTCTGAAAGACTATAAAAGAAACTGGTAATAATGGGTACCTGTGGGAGAAACAATACCAGAGATGGGTAGGGAGGCACAGTCTACACTTTAGGATGTGCACCTATCATTTCTTTAGTTGAAAAATACAATGCATAGCTGAGCCTAACTCCAGAATTCAAAATTCTTTATAAAGTCTTAATTTTTTTCTTTGAAGATGTTTAATTGTATTACCACTAGATGGCACATACTTACTGGTAAATCCTCAAAGAATCTCAGACACAGATTTTTTTTTTTTTAAAGTGTTTTAGTTCCCCAAACTCACCAAAGTTTACTTTAGCTGTCTACAGTATTGGTTTTTCTGAAGAAACTTCCTTAACTTCAGTTGTTTAGTGCCATATCAGCTTCTAGGCTATTTTTCACTAATTTCTTATTTAGCATCATTATAACATTTGAGTGGTAGGAATTATCTTAAATCTGCAGATGCTAGCTTAGATATTCTTATAGTTTCTAATGTTTTTTGAATTGTATCTACCTATCTTTTCATTTCTTTTTCTATGAAATTAATGAATAAAATTTAAATACTCTGTGCACAAAAGTAGATTTTTTTTAAAAAAATAGATTTTTGCTTGAATGTATTGTTTGCTTTTATATCAAATAAATCAGTGTCCAGAACAACATGCAATTTAGCAACCACTTTCTGAATGCTTACATGATATACAATGAGATTAGGCAAATGGGTACTGTGGAGGACACAAAGATGAAATACTATTTATTGCCTCTATCTTCAGGACCTTTCATTTTATGGTGGGGTGGGGGCAGTTATGAATACAAATAACTATAATACAAGTCAGAATGTAGTAAATGATTAAAAGAAAATATTAAGTGTAGTGGAAGAGATAGCTTATATTAATTTGGGGATTCCAAGAATAATGAATTTGAAAAGAGCTTTAAATATATAGACAGTTTCAGGCGCCTGGGTGGCTCAGTCGTTAAGTGTCTGCCATGATCCCAGGATCCTGGGATCGAGCCCTGCATTGGGCTCCCTGCTCCGTGGGAAGCCTGCTTCTCCCTCTCCCACTCCCCCTGCTTGTGTTCCCTCTCTCACTGTGTCTCTCTCTGTCAAATAAATAAAATCTTTAAAAAAAATAAAAATAAAAAAATAAATATATAGACAGTTTCATTCTCTGAATGAACTGAATATAGGTGTTACATAGATTTACATTTCTATATAAAGAGTGAATTCTACATCTGAGATAAAGATATGATCATTATATGCAAGTGGTAAATGTGGGATTATAGAATAAAAACCTGTATTCTTTTTGATGGTAAAGTTTCCAGGAAAAAAAAATGGTGGTATGCATTTTATAAACTGTAACATTTAAAAGCATTATAAAAAAACATCTTAGGCAAATTCTGGGTGCCTGGTTCATTCAGTCAGAGCATGCAGCCCTTGATCTTGGGATTGTAAGTTTAAGCCCCAGCCAGGTTGGGTATAGAGATTACTTAAAAATAAAATCTTAAAAAAAAAAAAAACCTTTTTAGGCAAGTTCTAAAATAACATTGGAAAAATTATTGAGCCAGTTGTCATTTTTAACAGATTCTTTTACTCTTGTTTTTCTTTTCAAAATATTTTTTAAATTAATTTATATGTAGAAAAAGTACTGAATTCAAGTAGAATAACATTTATTGAGTGCATACTATGCCAGAAAACTATTATTTCATTTAATACTCATGAAACTTTATGATCTATATACTGTTATCCACATTTTACAGATGAAGAAATTGGGGCAAAAGTTTAAGGAACTTGTATGAATATGTGACCTGCCTGTCATAACACCAAAACTGGATGTGAATAAAATTAATTTTCTTACAATAAGAAACTTGGCTTTTCAATTTATACCACTTCACTATCATTGCTCTTAAAAGAGAATCAAATTATTCTAACAAGATATATTAATACTGACTTGTTACTTTGGTGGCCTTTTTGTAAGTTTTAAAGTGTGAGATGAATCATATTAAAATATTATCTAAATGAATCAAGAATCTGACCCTTTGACTTTTAATGTATAAGATTTCCCCAACTTTGGTATACTCTAAAATAATAAAATAATAATCATATACCAAAGTCTAAGTAATATATGGTATAATGGTTAAGTCAGATTAATTCTAGCTCAACAGCTAAATAAAGTAGATATTAAAACAAAATTATATATTTAGAAATGAGTCTTATTATTTTTCTGTGTTTCTTTAGCCAGAAAAATGTAAGAAAAAAAAGAAATGGTATAAAAGTGCACTACAAGAAGCCTGCCTCCTCTATGGATATTCTCATGAGCAAAGACTGGAAATGTGCCGCCTATCCAAACAGGGTATATGAACTTTATTATTCTTTACCACCCCAAAATGAGGATTTATTCAGATGCATGCTTTCCAAAATACATTTGCACATTTAAAAAAAATCTCTCTTTCTCTTCATAAGAATATATTGTTGTCCCCTGAAAAAAATTTTTATATGGATTAATAGTATGTATTTTATCCTTTGAAACTGTTTTCAGTGACTAAACATACATTCTATTTAAATGCTTCTATCATCTTCTTTACCTTTAGACTATCTATTTAAGTTCTCTTGTGTATTTCAAAGTATATATTTCAAAATTAGAAGCTGTGGCCTTATATTTCTGGGGTGAAACTTTGCATATGCTGCATTCTTTCAGAACAAAGTATTTTTCAAAATGTTTTATTTTTAAAGAAATTCAAAGCAGAGATAAAAACAATCTTCAACTTTTTTAATGAGGTGAAAAAATATGGTAAGATTTCAGGTCATTTTCAAAGAAAGTGCTCTTGAATCATAAATATTATGGTTTATAGATAGCTTTTTAAATGAATTCATCATAGGGATTATAGTAGGAAGGACACATTTTTAATTCTGAATATGATTGTCACATAAAAATAATGATTTTCGGTGTGCCTGGGTGGCTCAGTCGTTAAGTGTCTGCCTTTGGCTCAGGTCGTGATCCCAAGGTCCTGGGATCGAGCCCTGCATTGGGCTCCCTGCTCGGTGGGAAGCCTGCTTCTCCCTCTGCCTCTGCTGCTCCCCCTACTTGTTCTCTCTCTGTGTCAAATAAATAAATAAAATCTTTAAAATAATGATTTTCAATAAACCTAAATATGTTCTTAGTGATAATAATAATTATCATCTTAATTTCTAAAGTGATCATCTTAAGTTTCAAAATAGATTATGAGAGGATCTGGCCTTTTAGTGCTGACTGAATTTTAAGAGTGACATTTTTTTCTTCTTGGAATATAATATATATATATTTTTAAAACTTAGATGTGAAAATATTTTATTTGAGAAAAATTTAAATATTAACCCAGCTACCTAAGTTTAGATTTTAAAGGAAATAAGTAGATTTTAAAAGAGTGGAAAAGAATGACAAGCACATTACTCTGGTTTACTCTGAGACTGGGAAAAGAGACATTTATTACCATAAATGTGATTTTATTCCTTGTGCTGAAAATATAATGTCTCTGTTTATTATCAGTAAAGGTTGAACTCACTGTATTGTCACAAATACAATTTTATTCTTTTCATGGAGTATACGTTTTTCTTGTGTAACCAAAATAAACTTTGAAATATTTCGGGTTTTTTTTAGGTTTTTTAATATTAATATCTTGAAATTATATAGTCAGTTATTTTTTAAAGTTATATTATAGCCATTTCACATTAGCAGTAGACACACTCTTTCAATAAATATGGAACTATGTCTCTGTCATTGTTGTATGTGCTGCATATTTATGTCTGTGTCCTTTGGCATTCTTGCTTGTCCAGAGACTATGGAGAGGGGTTAGTTCTCATTGGTTCTGCAGTAGACCGTTTTCTTGTTGAAAGCCTGCTGACTTTTGCATGCAGAATTTGATGTAATTCAGTCTGATTATAGAGAGTCTATGCCTAAAGAGATTCTTGTCCCCAAAGGAGCCAGAATGGAGGGGCACAAAGACACTTACAGGAATTCAGTCTTTGCCATAATAGGCTCACTCACTTCATACTCACTCTTTACTATCACCAAAATAGGCACTGTAATCCCTTAGCTTCCAGGGTGAATTCTAGTACATATTCAGCTTCTTACTGTGTTCAAAAGTAACTTTGAGAGGTAATTAGACATTATTCAGATATTTTACAAAAGGTGAGTAGCTTAGAGGCAAACAACTTATTTCATCCCAGCAACTTTGAGGATTTCTTTAACCCAAAATGTCTTCTTCCAACCCACAAATAAAGACTAATAATTTCTTGGCCTGAATTCTTCCTACCCTACAGAAATTGGCACACTATTATGTTTGATGCAGCTCTTTTCATTGTTGAAATCTGCAGGATCAGTAAATGATACGTAAAAAATACCCATTTCATATCGTAAGGGTATGTTTAGTTTTATGAGAAACTGCCAAACTATCTTCCAAAGTAGCTGCATCATTTTTTCATTCTCACCAGAAATGAATGACAGTTCCTATTGCTCCAAATACTTGCCAACATTTGGTGTTGTCAGTATTCTGGATTTTGGCCATTCTATTAGGTCTGCAGTGGTACCTCATTGATGTTTTCATTTGCAGTTCTCTGATGAAATATGATGATGCACATCCTTTCATATGCTTATTTGCCATCTATAAATCTTCTTTGGAGAGGTGTCTGTGCACTGCCTGCTTTTTAATTCAATTGTTTATTTTTTTATTGTGAGTGTTAAAGAGTTCTTTGTATCTTTATAGCAGCATTATCAACAATAGCCAAACTATGGAAAGAGCCTAAATGTCCATCTACTAATGAATGGCTAAAGAAGATGTGGTGTATATCTACAAGGGAATATTACTCAGCCATCAAAAAGAATGAAATCTTGTTATTTGCAGCGATGTGGATGGAACTAGAGTTATGTTATGCTAAGCAAAATAAGTCAGTCAGAGAAAGACAAATATCATATGATCTCAATCATATGTGGAATTTAAGAAAAAACAGATGAATATATGGGAGGGGGAGAAAAGAGAGAGGGAGGGAAACAAACCATAAGAGACTCTTAAGGATAGAGAACAAACTGAGGGTTGATGGAGGGAGGTGGTGGGGGATGGGCAGATGGGTGATGGGGATTAAGGAGGGCACTTGTTATGATGAGCACTGGGTGTTGTATGTAAATGATGAATCACTGAATTCTACTCCTGAAGTCAATATTGCACTGTATGTTAACTAACTAGAATTTAAATAAAATCTGAAAAAAAGAGTTCTTTGTATATTTCAGATAAAAGTCCTTTGTCATTTATTTTGTAAATACTTTTTCCCACACTGGATTATCTTCTCATTCACTTGATAGTATTCTTTGCAGAGTGGAAATTTTAATTTTAATGAAATCCAGCTTATTAATTATTTCTTTCGTGGATCTTGCCTTTGATGCTATATCTAATGTCATCTGCATACCCTAGGTCATCTACATTTTCTCCTATGTTACCCTCTAGGAGTTTTATAGTTTTACATTTTTCATTTAGATTTGTGATTTTGAGTTAATTTTTGTGAAACATGCAAGGTCTATATCTAGATCCATTTTTTTGACATGTAGATATCTATTTGTTTAACACCATTTGTTGAAAAACCATTTTTTCTCTATTATATTGTCTTTGTTCTTTTGTAAAGTATCAGTTGACTATATTTATTGGGTCTGTTTTTGAGCTCTCTATTCTGTTCCATTGATCTGTTTTTTTTTTATTCTTTTCCCAATATTACACTGCCATGATTGTTGTAGCTTTAGAGTTAAGTATTAAAGTCAGGTAGGGCCAAGTCCTCTGACTTTGTCCTTCAATATTGTGTTGGCTATTCTGCATCTTTGTCTCTTCATAAGAACTTTAGATTGAGTTTGTTGATATCCACAAAACAACTTGTTGGGATTTTCATTGAGATTGCACTGAATCTATAGATCAAGTGGGGAAGAACTGACATCTTGACAGTACTGAATCTTCCCATCCATAAATATGGAAAATACCCAGATTTGTTTAGGTCTTTGATTTTGTTCATCAGAGTTGTGTAGTTTTCTTCATATAATCTTGTCCATATTTTGTTAAATTTTGCCGAAGTATTTCACTTTGGGGGTACTAGTATAAATGGTAATGTGTCTTTAATTTCAAATTCTATTTTTTCATTGCTGGTAAATAGGAAAGTGATTGACTTTTGTGTGTTAACCTTGTGCCCTGCAACCTTGCTATAATCACTTATTTGTTCCAGGAGGTTTTTTTTATTCTTTTTTGGATTTTCTACATAGATAATCATGTCATCACAGTTTTATTTCTTCTCAATCTATACCTTTTATTTACTTTTTTTTTTCTTATTGCATTAGCTAGGAGTTTCAGTACAATATTGAAGAGTGGTGAGGTGGGAACATCTTTGACTTATTCCTAATCTTAGTGGGTAAGCTTTGAGTTTCTCACCATTAACTATGATTTTAGCTGTAGGATTTTTGTAGATTCTCCTTATCAAATTGAGGATATTTCCCTCTATTCCTAGTTTGTTGAGAGTTTTTATCATGGATGAGTGTTGGATTTTGTCAAGTGTTTTATGTGCATCTATTGATCTGATCATGTGACTTTTTTAACCTGTTGATGTCACAGATTACATTAATTGATTTTGAATATTGAATCAGCCTTGTATACCTCAGATAAACCTCACTTGTTTATGGTATGTAATTCTTTTTATACATTGTTGGATTTAATTTGTAATATTTTATTGAGGATTTTTGCATCTATGTTCATGAGAGAAATCAGTCTGTAGTTTTCTTGTACTGTCTTTATGTGGTTTTGGTATACTGGCTTTGGTGAGTGAATTAGGAAGTATTCCCTCTGCTTCTATCTTCTGGAAGAGTTTATAGAGGACTGGTATAGTTTGTTCCTTAAATGTTTGATAGAAATCACCAACGAACCTATCTGGGTTTCATGCTTTCTGTTTTGGAAGGTTATTATATTGATTCAATTTTATAAAAAGATACAGATTGTTTATTCTTGTGTGACTTTTGGCAGGTTGTGTCTTTTAAGGAATTGGTCCATTTCATCTGGGGTATCAGATTTGTGAGCATAGTTATTCACATCATTTCTTATTATCCTTTTAATATCTTGGGATCTGTAATGATGCCCTCTCTTTCATTTTTGATAGTTTTCTCTCTTTTTTCCTTAGACTGGCTAGAGTCTTCTTGATTTTATTGATCTTTTTAAAGAAACAGTTTTTGGTTTTATTTCCTCTATTGATTTCCTGTTTTTGATTTTAATGATTTCTGCTCTAATTTTTATTTCTTGTGTTTACTTCATATTTAACTTGCTTTTCCTTTTCTAGTTTCCTAAGATGGAAACT